GGAGACAGGTGGTTGGTTTCACTCGTCCAAGCAGCCTGTCCACATCCTTGGAGGTAACAGATTGGAATTGATCCCACTCAACTTGACTAGACAGAACTCTAGCACTCTCCCGCCCCGGCCCTGCTCCCACGGTGGAGTCTACTTCTTCCCGAATCTGAGCGATTTTATCTGCAAAAAACTTTGCAAAATCATTGCAGGAGAACATGTGGCCCGTACTGGGCCCCGATGTTGCAGGTGGTTCCGCTAAATTGTGAACCACCTGAAAAAGTCTCCTGCTGCTGTTTTCTGCAGATGCAATAGAGGCGGTGAAGAAATTCTTCTTCGCCGTCGCTATCGCCACTTGGTAGGCTCGACGTTGAGCTCTAACCTGTGTCCGGTCAGATTCGGAATGAGTTCTCCGCCACCGGCGCTCTAGCCGTCTCAACGATTGTTTCATTGCCCTCAGATCCGTGGAAAACCACGGGGCTGTCCGGGCTCCATGCAATCGGAGAGGGCGCTTCGGAGCCAAACAGTCAATAGCCCTGGTTAACTCCACATTCCAGCGGGCCACCAGGGAATCAGCTGAAAGGCCATCAACATGGGATAAAGCATCCCCTACCACTCTCTGGAAACCATTTGGATCCATTAAGTGGCGGGGGCGGACCATCCGAATTGGTCCCACCTCCCTGCAGAGGGGATGGGTCGCAGAGAAGTCCAGTTGCACCAGGAAGTGATCTGACCATGGCACTTCTTTCGTTTCGCTTTTACTTAGTGTCAGATCACCAACATCCATAGAGGTAAACACCAGGTCCAAGGCATGTCCACGGCTATGGGTTGGGCCAGACTTATTCAGGGACAGCCCCATGGAGGCCATGCTTTCCACGAAGTCCCGAGCGGCCCCTTGTAAGGTCGTGTCGGCATGGATGTTAAAATCCCCTAGGACGACCAAGCTAGGTGTCTCCAGGAGAACATCCGCCACGACCTGAAGCAGCTCGGGCAGGGAATCCTTGGTGCAGCGGGGAGGTCGGTACACCAAAAGGAATCCTGTACTGCCCCTATTGCCCAACTTCCAGAACATGCACTCAGAAAACTGGGTCTTCCCAACAGGACGCCTGGTGCAAACTAATGACTTCCTAAAAATCACTGCAACCCCCCCTCCCCGCCCACATGACCTGGGTTGCTGTGCGTAAGAGAAACCTGGTGGACAAGCAGCAGCAAGGACAGGCCCATCTGCTTCATCCAACCAGGTCTCTGTTATACATGCCAGGTCAAATCCTCCATCCATGATCAAGTCATGGATGGCAGTGGTCTTATGAATCATTGACCTGGCATTGCACAGCAGCACCTTCAGGTCATGTGGGTATCCCTTGCTGATTCTAGTATCCATCCGGTCAGGACCAGACCCGGAGGCAGGGATAGTCCTCAGACAACGACTAAACCTGCCTCCTCTGTAATGATAGGGTCTGGTCTTAGCGTAACTCCTCCTCCTACCCGTGATCACTGAGATCGGTTGTCCCAGTGCATCCTGCCCTGTGGAACATGCCCCAGCCATTTTATGGGCTGGGGCCCACTCCCCGGCAGCCCTGAACCCTCCCCTAAAAACAAAATAACACCTTAAACAACCAAAACCAATAAAACAATACAAATGAAAAATGTAAAAATTACAAAAACATCAAAATAAAAAAAAATAATAATTCCCCAAGCCCAACCAACATCCATCCCACCCCCACCCCGCACATACATGTTTGATTAAGAAAGACATAAACTGCTTTTGGAAAACCAAATAATTTTAATTTTGCCTTCTGAAAATGTCATATAATGCTAAATAACAACAATAACGATGATGATGGTTATGATAATAATAATAATGATAATAACAACTGCAAGTAATTGGTAATCATTTTAATGGTTTCTATTGTACACACATTTACTTACCAAGCAAAACTAAATTCTATTAATTTAACCAAAATATCTTTCAAATTCACAAATCATGTTACAGTTTTTTAGCACCCCTCACTTCTGCAATTTGGAAGTTGGAAAATTCAACTTTCCCAGGGGGTATCTGGTTGCTAGACTAGATAGGCCTTTGGTCTGATCCAACAACATCAAGGCTCTTCTTGTGTTCCTCTCACAGCCTACCATGAAATGTGCAAAGATGAGTATGTGATGTTGATGACTTGGAAGAAAGCTGCTGCTGGTGAGATTGTCTACAACAAATGCCCGTCCAATGCTACAGGTAGGCAGCTGCATGGGTGGGGATACACTTTTTTAAGCAGAATGAAGCCTTGCGGATGATAAACAGCAAGATAAAAGGAGGTGACCTGCAGGTCTACCTGCCAACATGAGTTTCCTGCTTGAGAACTCAAGGCACTGTCACTTCATAAGGGATGTCTGCACTCCCTAAGCAGATTTCAGCTACATGGTTCTGCTCTGGTTTGTGTTGCAAGATGATTGGCTTCTTCAGTCCCAAAAGTAGAACTGTCCCAAGGGAGTTGCTAACCCCCCTGTGATATTCTTTACTGAATCCTTCACCAACCTAGTGCTCTCCAGATGTTTTGGACCACAACTCCCATGGGAGTTGTAGTACAATAGCATTCAGAGGGCACCAAGTTGGCAAGGCTATCTTGGTACAATAACAATGAATAACTCTTGGCAACTCCCCAGTTCTTGGTCATTGCCCTGCATTTCATTCTTCACCCATGTTGATCTTAATATTAAAGAAATCAGATTGCACACACGTTTACCTCCTCATTAAAACCAAAACCTCTTTCCAGCTTCCTTTGCAAAATTTTCACAGAGCCTTGTATTTTGCAAGCCTCCAATGAATATGTCTTTTTGAATATTCCCTCTGCTCCCCTTGCAGATTTGTGGGCACTTGCAAATTTAACAGCGTTGAAAAAGGCACAGATCTGGCTGCATGCAATTTCTACATTATTGGGGTTTCTTAATAGAAATAAGCACTACTACTTGAAAGAATAGCTCAGTTGCTAAGGGAGAAAGAAGCCCACATTGAAATAGAACACAGTGTGCAGGCTTGTCCTCAGTGCTGCACATGGGGAAGCCAGGAGCATCACATTCTATAAAATAATTAGATGGTGCTGGAGGCCCTGACCTCTCTGGGTCTGGAGTTCATGTCTGTGCCATGGTCTGCTGAGAATGTCTATTAAAGGTACAATATTTTAAATGTTTTTATTCAAGCCCCATAATAAGCACATTTACAAACATAGTTGGAAAGAAAGGGGTTTTTTTGGGTGGGGATAGGGGTTTAAAGATAACAGACTTCAAGATGAATGGTGAGGAGCAGGACAGGGCCAAGGGATGTAAGGATTTGCAAAATGTTCACCCAAAAAAACTAGCTCTCTGAAGGAAACTTAAGCTTCATCTGGGAAGCAGCAGAGCAGAGTGACAGCTGCATCCAAGGCCTGTTGCTCATGCTAGGGTTAAAGGCAGCGAGGTGTTTTTCTCCTTTTTTAGGTGTGTCAGCTCCAGGCTGGCATAGCTGAGAAGCTCAAGAACCAGACCTTTGCATTTTACAACAGGTCTTTACAACTATTCAAATAGATCAGGACTGTAGAGCCTGGGAACATCAAAAGGTCCTTTCCTGGCACCTGAGAAACAATGTGGGCACCAGGGGGAGTTCCATGAGTGGGATGCTGGTGGGAGCTCTGTCTTTAACATCAGAATTAGATGAAGCTCTTCAGGTGGTAAATCTGCATTTAGGAGTGATAGTGGGCTGGATGAGGACCATAAACTGAAGTCTAATCCTGACAAGATGGAGGTGCTATGGATTGGTGGTTCTTGGGTCCAAGGACTGAGTGATCAGCCTCTTCTGGATATGGTTGCACTCCTTCTGAAAGGCCAAGTTTGTAGGCTCTGAGTGCATTCCTTGAGTCTACCTTGTTGCTAGAGGCTCAGTTGGCTGCAGTGTTGTGTGGCTGTTTCCAACTCCGTCTAATTGGCCAGCTGTGGCTGCTCTTAAACTCTCATAGCTTGGCCACAATAATCCATCCCCTAATCATCTCCAGACTTGATTATTGTAATATGCTCTATGTGGGGCTGCTCTTAAAGATGCCCCAGAGATTGCATGAGATCACATACCAGTCTTGACAGATCTGTACTGCTTGTTTCTGTAACTGCACCGGCTGCCAAGCTCAGTTCCGAGTGCTAGTCTATAAAACCCTAAACGGTTTGGGAATACACACCCTAGTTCATGGGTTGAGAGCTGTTGGGGCAACCTCTGTGGCTAAAGTCAGAATCATAGGGCCTTCTCAGTCGAGAGTCCTCCAATAGTGGAACATACTTCCAGAGGAGATTTAGGCTAGGGTTGCCATATTTCAAACAGTGAAAATCCGGACAGAAAAGTTGTTGAGCTTTTTGTTGTTGTTGAGCTTTTTGGGCAAAATTGCTTTAAAAAATCTGTTTTGAAGCTATTTTTATGGGGAAATGGCAAAAATGACACCGCCAACATGGGCTACCATATATCTGGATTTTCCCAGACATTTCCGCAATTTCTGCCAGGACACTGCTGCTGACTGCAGTATTCCAGATATATCTGTATGGCAACCCTAATTTAGGTTGTCACTGAACTGATGAGCTTTCAGTATTAGGCAAAAACATTTCTTTTTTGTGTGTTTCATTGTTTTGCCAGAGCTGCTGAAGTTCAATTTGTTTTAAGATAGTCATTCTGACAAAGGTAGGAAGAGGTAGATTGCTTTTTAGTTTGATTGTGTTGTACCTGGATGTGATGAGATTTACATAGTATGCTTAGGATGACTTGCCTTGTGATGGATTTATGGTGAAGGATGGGATCCCAAAAAGTACATGCATTAAATATGCCTTACTGGGCAGATTGTGAGCCTAAAAGGACCACCAGATGCCCTTCTCCTCCAATGTTCAGCCCATTTCCTGTTGCAAACGCCCCCTTGTTTGGGGGTAGTTCCTGGGGACTGGCCTGGAGGTGGCTGGGCATTTGGGGCACCTTCAGCCACAAGTGCTACCTGTTGGTTTACCTTCTTTCCTAGGGTCTGCCAGCCGCCGGTGCTTGCTCAACTCCCAAGGCGTGGCTTTCTGGGGCACGCCCAGCTTCGCACGCTGCATCTCCCACGAGTACCGATACTTACATCTCTCAGTAGGTGCAGACTCTGGCTGGCAAACAGACCTTCTCTCTTCCCTTTTTATCCCTTTTGGCTACGGTCTCAGCCCTTTCCCAATCTTGTCTTTTTTATATATAAAAAAGGGGGAGGGGGTTGATGTAGGGGTGGGACAGGTGCTGCTAAGCATGGAAAGGGAGGGGTGCACAAACTGCACAGAAAATGCAGTAGGCAAAATCAGTTTAGGTGAATGCACTGATACCAATCAAATCAATTATGACTGATGCTGGCGTTTTCAGCGATGAGCTTGTTGGTGGGCAAGCATGTGTGTATGGATTTGCATTCTCCCCTGGCAAAGGTAGTGCAAAATGTGTTGGGAAAGTATTTAATTAATTATCACAGGAACATGCAATCCTTTGTGTGCCTGCTCAGAAACAAGCCCTTAGTCCCAGGATCTGCCTTATACTGATGTAGTCTGTTGACACGTTTATCTTCGTATTATCTGTACCAGCTTTCACCAGCTTTGTCCCCTTGAGATGTTTTGAGGTACAGATCCCATCAGCCCCAGCCAGCCAGCTGGCCATGCTTGCTGGGACTGATGGAAGTTATAAAGTCCAAAACACCTGGAGGGCACTGGGTGGGTGGAAGCTGATCTGCATTGGCGGACCTGTTACATGAAATCCTTTTTCACTGGCGTTCCTGGGGATTGAAACAGGAGCCTTGGGCATGCAAACCAGGTGTGCTGCTCTTCCACTGAATTACAATGGGCCTTGGCTAGAGAATCCTCCACTCAGGGTCTCTCAATGTAAGCCTAATGGCGCACAGATCCTACTCCATCCCTGGCCTTATCTTTCTCTATCTCTTTCTCTTCCCACACTCCTCCATCTGATCAAAGCTCCGAGAGCATTTGGCCAAGGGGCAGCGCATGCTGGCAGGTGAGGGAATGTCTCAGGTGGTCCGTGGCCTGCTGGAGCTTGTAGCCCGGAAGACGTACTACAGTGGAGACCTGCTCTTCTCAGTGGAGATCCTGCGCAATGTCACAGACACTTACAAGAGAGCCACCTACATCCCTTCCTCAGATGATGTTCAGGTACCATTCTGGATGGGAAAGATGCAGTTTCATGGCACACATATCGCAGGGCCATTGTAACAAAAAGGGGCTTGTTTGCCTCACTATATGACAGAGAGTCAGGGATGGACAAATCATCCAATTTCCTGTTAGTGTCAGTTTTCCATGTGTTCAGTCATGAGTTCATCCTGTCTCTTTTTCTATGATTAAAACACACAAAAATGCACATTTAAATATTTTCTCCTAAAAATGCATTTTTGTCTGCATTCCCCACCCCCACCCCTAAAAAGGCAAATTTTGAGCCAAAAATTCCATCACAAAAATTTTACAGACCAAAAGAGTAACTGTGTTATAATTTGCATTTTAGTCTAAGAAATGCAAATTAGGTCAAGTCACTGAAAATTCAGTGACCCACTGAAACGCAGGCCAGACAAAATAGTCCAGTATCCCTAATAGGCAGTAGTAGCAACAAGAAGCCATGAATCCAGATGTCTTTCAAACAAAACCAAATTCTTCCACAAGAAAGGCAATATTCTGTGACTTGCATAATTTTTTGCAGATCAAACAGGCTGGCAGAGATCTGCTTATTTTGCATTAAGTGACTTGTGGCAGTTGTGTTCCTCCTCTTACCACTAGAAACTCTGCTTAGCTATTCCCTGTTCCTTGAGATTTTGCCAGGTGCTGCCTGCACAGTTTCACACTCATCCCTGCGCACTTAGGCTTCTTCCCTCTCCCCTGCCAAAAGCTGGATTTTGAGGAGAATTGCCTAATGTAATTTACCAACTGCAAAATGTTGAGGTTATGGATGTTCCTGCTGAGCTGAATCATTTAATACACACATGGTGATATCAGCTAATATTTCATATGAACATTTTAGCAGAAAGAAAAACAAAAGAAAAACAGTGTTCATGAGTAGCAGTCTTTCTCAAGAGGGCTCCTGCCTACCCACAAGATCAATTTTGAATACAGCATCCTTCGCCAACCTGATACTCTCCAGATGTTTTTGACTACATCTTTGATTAACTCCAGCCAGCAATGTGCTGGAGCTAATTGGAGCTGTAGTCCAAAGCATCTGCAGGGTGCCAGGTTGGTGAAGGTTGACAGCTGGAGCCTTCCCAGCGCCTTCACTTCAACCTCTCCTCTGCTCCCACAGCGGTTCTTCCAAGTCGTCAGTTACATGGTGGATGCGGAAAACAGGGAGAAGTGGGAAGATGCACAGCAGGTGAGCTGACATGCCTTGTGTGCGGGGCTAGGCTGTGGGGACCCCCAGCCTGTGTTAACACCTCCTTCTGCCTCACAGGTCATGCCTGGCTCTGTGCTCCTGATGAAGGTGGTGGAGGATTTCATCCACCTGGTCGGAGACGCACTCAAGGCCTTCCAGAGTTCCCTCATCGTCACGGACAACTTGGGTGAGTGGCTGGAAGAGAATGGAGGGATGGCTTCCTTGTTTGGTTGTTGGGAAGGGAACAGGGCAGGGTGGTTGTACACCAAGTCCACAGTCCTGGAGGTTGTGTCTGCTCCAATCCAGGGTCCCTGAGGTCACTAGCTAGGCCTTCTTGAGCATGGTGGTGAGAAGGCAGCAACTTCCATCCAGTCCTGCATTCGTTGCAAGCAGCTCTGCCTCCATTCCACTACAGTTCAGCTTCTACTACAACCCACATCTTGTCTCACTATCCACTATGGCCAAAACTAATGTAATTGATTCCATCATTAATTTACAGGCATTTCAATGGAAGGGGAAGGTCAAAAGCACTACAATGTAATTATTTAGGTAATATTCACAGACTTAAAAAAACTGATAGGGAATACCACTTGTATTCACTTGCAGTCAAGGGGGCTCTGAGTCCACTGTCCCAATTAGCATACTAGGCTTGGTCCCTCCACCACTGAGGCTCTAGAGGTCTGGAGTGTTGGCAGAGGGGCAAAATGACTTCCCCCCATAATACCCAGTAGCGACACCCTCCCCTCCCCACTTTCTTTCTCCCACCCTTGGCAGTAATCAGCATCCAGAGAGAGCCGGTTTCTGCTGTCTCCAGTGACATCAACTTCCCCATGAAGGGGCGGCGTGGAATGAAAGATTGGGCCCGCCACTCTGAGGATAAGATCTTCATCCCCAAGGAAGTGCTCAGCCTCTCCTCATCTGGTATGTGGCCTGTGTCCGTGTGTGTTGGGGAAGGGCTACGGCTCAGTGGTAATGCATCTAGGTCCCAGGTTCAGCCCCTGGTATCTCCAGGTAGGGCTGAGAGAGAGACTCCTGTCTAAAACACTGGGGAGTTGTGTAAAAGCCTAGCAGCCAGTGTAGACAATACTGAGCTTGGTCTGGCTTGGTATAAGGCAACTTCCTATGTTCCCACGCCCCTGTACTGTTCTGTGACCCTGGAATTTGGGAGCCTCTTAGATCTCTCGTTCTATCTCTGGATTTTAAACATTCTCTGAAGAGCGAGCTAAGAGAGCCTGGATTCTTCCTGAAGAGAAAGGGGCACAGCTCGCACACTTGGTACACAAGAAGCCTCTGATTAAATGCATGACCTCTCCAGGTGGGGCAGGAAAAGGCTCCAGGATTATACCCCAGAGAGACACTACCTGTCAGTGTAAATAATACTGACCTTGTTGTAACAATGGAATGGCTGTAGCTTAGAGCATGTGATTTGCGTGCAAAATATTCCAGGGTAAAACTGGGGATGTTCCCTGCCTGAAACCCTGCAAAGCTGACAATCAGTGTGGAGACTACAGAGCCAGATGAACCAATGGCCTGACTTGGAATGGGGTGGAGTGTGAGCAGCCGTTTCAGCACTCCCTTTCCTGTACATCTGTGTGAGGAGAATGAGAATCTCAGGAGAGTTGGGGTGTAACAGCCTGCAGACCTCATCATATTCCCATATTCCCAGTATGGGAGCATAACTGAACCATAGTATAAAATGTGGCCAACCTTAACCAGCTTAATTCAAGCACGTGCCAAACCAAATTACCTTGCCCAGAGCTAGCTCATTCCAGTTCAAGCCCAAATGAGCTCCCCCCATCAACTAGTATGAGCTGGTCTAGAACTGTCTCTAATCACAACCTACTGTAAATCAATGCTGTTCTTTCCTCCCTCCCCCATATTTCTCTGCAGAAACAGATGAATCATCTTATTTTGTCATTGGTGCCATCTTGTATCGCACATTGGGATTAATCCTGCCTCCTCCTAGGTGAGTGGCTGTGGAGGTGGCATGTGGAAGGGGTATGTGCATGACACCACACACTCAAATGCCAAAAGGATTGCTTGCAAACAACCTGTTTCTCTTCCACCCACAGAAGTCCCCTGGCTGTCATGTCCAAAGTTCTCACGGTGACAGTGAAGCCCCCAACCAAGGCCATGGAGCCCTTGATCATGGTGGAGTTGTCCCATATCATCAATGTAAGTGGTATAAGGTTCTCCTGTGATAGTGCCCATACCCATTACTGCCCGCCCTTCACTATGAGGTCCAAGGGGAAATCGCATCAATGTGAAATACAACATTTTAAACACTCTAAAACAAATTTAAGTCACAAGTAGAGTGCGTACTAAAATACATGTCTTTCAAGAGACAGCATGAAGAGGTGTATCTTCAGCATACAACAAAAGCTGGATAATGAAGGTGACTTGTGTTCCCCTCAAACATAGTTGGTACAAAATACCCACAATCACAGAATATCAAGTAGAAAACAGCCTTGGGTTTCAAGGGAAAGTGAATTTCCCTAATGAAAACAATATATGTCTGGCAAGGTAAGGGGAGACGTGCTCCCCCCCCCATTTGTCTTTGGGGGGTTGGTGGTCAGGGAGAACAATTGTGGAACAAAAAGAATTATTAATAAACAGAGAAACGAGCACAAAAAGAAACAGCAACACAGTCTGGCATTTATTCCCTGTGCAATCTGAAAATATTTTTGTCAAGGGAAAATCCTCTTTAATAAGGCTTCTCTGAAAAAGAAAAGAAAAATATTCCATGGTTCAATGTATTTTTGCTCAGCATGGCAGCTTCTTCCTCTTTTTAAAAAGTATTTATTAAGGAGTAAGAATTCTCCTTTGAATCAGGTGATGAAGATCTTTCATTATTAAGGGTGTTTCTATCCCGCCCTTCAAGCACTGGTCTTAGGGGAGCTGACAATAAGCCCTTCTGGAATGCAACCTTCTGAAATACATTGCGCATCTGGGCAGAGCTTTGCCCTTTTGAGACAAAACCAAACCCCTCATAAGTAGCCACTGAAACCAGAACATTATGTTCATTGTATTCACAATACCCAGTTTAGCCTTGCTGGCACCTGACACCCAACTGATCACTCTCCTTCTCTGCGTTGTCCACAGGGCACCTCGCACCCACAGTGTGTGACCTGGGAGTACACCAAAGTGTAAGTACATTTCATCTTGCTATAGTGTGGGTTTGTGTAAGAGCACACATGCAGATGGTGGACACACCCATATGACTAAGAGAGGGGAAGCATCGCTGATTTGGGTAGCAGGGAAGTCTCTAGTGCATAGGAATGTAGTTTGTGTGGGGACAGCTACAAGATGCATCTACACGGGTCATCCCTTGCAAACAGTCATTTTAAACCCACTGTTAATGTTATCCTATTTCTTCCATTTCTGTTTTGCCATTCCCACTCTCCTGGACACTAGATTCTCTCCCTGTGGCAGGAAGGAATACTAACTGGCAGGAGAGCATTGTGATAACACTCACCCCTGGCTAGGCACTACATTGCTACTCAAATCCAGGGGAATAGGCGAGTGGCTAATTGCAGATGTTGTGTTAGGGTAGCCCCATGAGCTGGATCCTACCGAATCTTTCCACTGTAGCTTTCTGTGACCATGTACTGAAGGTTTGACATCTGTAAAAGCCATCTTAGAAGTGTTGGGTCAGAATCGTTCTTTGCCTATGTTGCGTGTTGGAGGGATTACAGTAGTTGGACCTTGGAGAAAGAAGGACGGATGTATGGGGAGCCTGTTTGAATTGAGAGGGTGGGAGTGAGAATATTGTTATGAACTCGAGACTGCAAGAAGCAAGACCTTTTGTCTCTGTCTTTCTCCTCTCTTACTTAACACATTCAGGATGGGATCTTTGTTCATCAGTGAGACCTGGTTGGCTGCGGCATCTGTGTTTGCTCAGATATGTTTTGTAATAGTATCACTTTAGGATGGAGGGCCATCAATATTGTCTCTGCCTGTGGATGTGGAATGACAGCAATCTGTAAAAGTATCTTGGCTCTTCAAAATTACCCAGTGGCTGGCTGTCTTGCCTACGAAGGAAGGTGTGCTCCTAGAATTTGAGGCCTGGAATAGTTTAGAAATTCTGTCGGCATTCTACCCTCCATGCTGCCTAATAGACTCCCTAGCTGAGTCCATCAGCTTGAAGGTTATGTTGAGATTGGCCAGACTCAATTTTCTGCTCATATGTGGTTTTCACAGGGTGACCTTCATTTAGGCTTTTTAGTTTAGGGGGGAAAGGCAAGTATAGTGGGACTTAATAGAGGTGTATAAAATTATGCACAGTGAGGAGAAAGTAGACAGATAGATCCTCTCACTTTTTCATGATACAAGAACTTAGGAGGAGCCAGTGAAGCTGAATGTTGGAAGATCCACAATGGGCCCAAAAAAGAACATCAGGGGTTTGCTACTATAAGAGTTAGTGATGGCTAAGGCTGCACAAGCAGCAGCAGCAGCAACCCCCAATTCAGTTCAGACCTTGATTTGTTGCCCTGATTTGCTTTGAATTGAGTCAAACCCCAAATCCAGAAATGTAAACCTTTGGTCCTCCCATAACTTGCACTGGGAAACCAAAATGGCCATGACATATCAGTCCCCCCCCCCAATAGGTGCATGGAGTCATGGTATTCCCTCAAGAGGGGATTAATCCTTACAAATTTCAGGCAGTAAAATCCAGGTTTTCTGTGCTGGCCACTTTAAAATTTGCTTTGTTCAAAAATGAAATGAAAAAATTAAAAGTAAAATGGCCATAACTTTCTCATCCTTGTTGTTTCTTCACATGAGTTCGTAAAAGCTCATAGAGTGCAAGGGATCCACTCTACTAGTAGGTCTAGGATCAGTACAAAGCCCTTCAGAATGATTCAACCTACTTAGAATCATAGAATCATAGAGTTGGAAGAGACCACAAGGGCCATCGAGTCCAATCCCCTGCCAAGCAGGAAACACCATCAGAGCACTCCTGACATATGGTTGTCAAGCCTCTGCTTAAAGACCTCCAAAGAAGGAGACTCCCACCACACTCCTTGGCAGCAAATTCCACTGTCAAACAGCTCTTACTGTCAGGAAGTTCTTCCTAATGTTTAGGTGGAATCTTCTTTCTTGTAGTTTGGATCCATTGCTCCGTGTCCGCTTCTCTGGAGCAGCAGAAAACAACCTTTCTCCCTCCTCTATGTGACATCCTTTTATATATTTGAACATGGCTATCATATCACCCCTTAACCTCCTCTTCTCCAGGCTAAACATGCCCAGCTCCCTTGGGACCCATCTGAAACTACCTCAACTCATTTCAGACCAGGCCCAATTTAGGATGAATTCAACCTTGTTGTTCAACAATTTTGGGTCTTATTCCCCCCAAAAAGCCAATGGGTAGATCACTGCCAGTTTTTTATAGTGGGAGTAGAACGCAGTCTCTTGGAAGTTGGACGTGCCTGGTATATCTTAATAAATTAATAAAGCAGGTTTCTTGTTTCACAGCTGACTTGTAGATACTTGGATAGCTTGGGCACAGGAGGACCACCTAGTTAGCTATTCTTATACTGCAACACCTCTCTCCCTCTCTCAGTTATGGAAACCTACTTCAAGAACTTTTCAGTGTAAAGAAGATTTTCCTTTCCCTTTTTTCAGCACTGTTTTTCTGCAGTTGTATTTGATGATGATTTACATTTATATCCTTCCTTTCCACCAATGAGCTCAAGGTGGAGTATTTAGTACTGCCTCTCCCCATTTTATCATCACTATGATCCTGCAAGGAGGGTTAGACTAAGAAACTGTGACTGACCCAAGGTCATCCAGTGTGCTTCATGGCTGAGGATGGATTTGAACCCTGGTCTTCCAGGTCCTTGTCCAGCACTCCAGCCACTATCCCACACAGGCTCTGAAGGATGCAGCTATTCCATATTCCTTTTCCAAGACACAATGCCCAGATACTGGTTTTTGATAAAGCTTCTCTCCCCCAAGTTTGCAGAATGTAGGTCTTAAGCAAAGCAGCAGGGATTGTGAGATCCTCATCCTTCTCCTTTCTTTCTCTCAATGCTACCTGGAGCTGGCAAGGAGAGCTATCCAGTCCTTCAGTGCTGAAATGTCCCTCATTTGCAGCACAGCATTGTAGTTGGGCATTTCATTATTATACATCAAAAAGGAACCTGACAATATCTCTTCTCGCTTCCTAGCCTGTGCCAAGAGTGACAGGCTCCCTTAACGAGGCCAACTGCCCCTCCCCTCTGCACTCCCCACTGTGGGTTAACTTTGTTAATAACAGCTATTGATTAGCGGGTGCTTAGAGATGGATGCCTCCTGCTTGCCAGATGTAATTCATTATCAGCTGGCCGGGAGGGAGGACAGTGGCAGAGGATAAAATAGGACAGATTCCCCTCTGAAACAGTTGTAACAGGAGTAGCTGCAGTGCTCATCTCTTGGTTTGCACTTAAGCCTCCAGCTGGGCTTCAGAACAACAGAGAGGCACACCCACAAGCTGATGCAGTAGTTGAAGCTGTTCTTCTAGACCTGGACGAGCTAACTGTTTCTGACCCAAGGGGCACATTCACCAGCAGTGAGTGCAGCCACCCATACTCTTGCATTCACACATGCACCTACACAGCAACTCAGCTGAGATGGGGGGTTCTCGCCCTCTTCCCACTGTGAAATGCTAAATCTGATGTTTGCGGAGGGAGAACTTTGCCTTCCAAATGGGGCACTGAGCTGGGCAGGAACTTAAAGCTATGTCTACTTCATTTTTTAAAAAAAATATTTACCACTTCTGTATACAAAATTGGGACGACAGAAACATTTGGGTGGGCGGGAGTTGGGATTGAGCCTGCCCCTGGGCCAGATGTTAGACATCCCTGTTGCGGATGGAATTTGGAGGAGACCTTGGAATTGTAGGCTGAGGCAAATTTAATTCTCGGAGACATTCACAAATAACCAGTAGCAAGAGCTATGTGTGAGGCAGCTAGTGCAGGCAAAGCATTTAGAATTGTGTGCCCGTTCCCACCCACTGAAAATTTAAGCCCCCTTTGCTGCTGATGCCTCCTCCTCTGTTTTCTTGTTCTGTGGCTCCTTATGACTCCTAACCAAGTTATTCCCCTAATCTCCATCAAGGACTGATTAATAGGAACATAGGGAACAGCTTTCTGCCAAGTCAAACTGTTATTCCACATAGCTCATTACTGCTTTCACTAACTGGGAGTGGCTCTCCAGGGTTTTTTGAGTAAATTTTCCCCAGCCCTACCTGGAAGTAACAGGGATTTAACCTAGGATCCTTTGCACGCGAAACAAGCATTTGTCCATTGAGTCACTTCCCCCCATTTGTTTTATAACTTTAATTCCTGGCTTTAGCTGTAAAGAGAAACTGCTTGGGACAATAAATAAGGAGATAGCTTTTCCCTAGTGATGGAGAAGCTCCCCAGCTCTGCTTCACTTGGCTTGGAAATGAACACAGCTAACACAATAGTAATTGGGGGAAATAACACAGTTCATTTCTGAGCCAGTGCAAATTGGCTAGCTCTCCCACCTGCTCTGACACTGTACATCCCACCTAATCACATCCCCCAAACTCCCTCCTCACTCTTCCATTAAAAAGCACAGGTCTAGGGTAGCATTCCCACTGCAAAAGAAGAAGAGGGAGATTTTGCCCTCTCTTCCCCTTCCAGCACTCTTACATAGCAATTTTTTTTGCCTACTTAGCAGAAAATCCAGTGGAATTTACTACCAGGTAAATTGACACAGCATTGAAGGCTTTGTGAATCATAGTTTTTCAAGGGGCAACTGGATGTTGGTGGTGGTAAGGTGGAAATTCTCATTTGGATCGTATTTTAATCCATGTAAGAGAAAAAAATGGGGACTCACAAGAAGAACCTCTTCTTTCCACAGGACAAGTACTTTTCAAACTGACATAACCAGCCCAAGAGGAAAGGAGTTGGGGTAAGATGTAACCATCTTACCTGCCTCTTCCTTAGATGAATTGTGGAACCTAGTCAGTGAGCAGCTGTGTAACACAAAAAATAGGGCTTACAGCTTTTATTAAGGAGACCTGTTTTCTTATTTGAGCTCTTTTACTCGCCATCCTGACCCTTACCTTGGTACTGGCAACAATGGAAAAGGACAAGCAATGCCGTACCCCTGTATCACTTATCTTTTTTATTTCATATGG